CACTGGGAATATAGTGGATTTCTAGTAATAAGTAAAAAGAATGTAAATCTCCATTAATCTAGACAGATAGAATTAATGACATGAAACATTAACACGAAGTCTACAGGATCTAAGTAGAAAATTTACAGGGATAAAGAAAATAATGAATGCTATTACTGAACACTATACACCCTTTTAATAAGTCCCGAGGTATTGTGTTCTCCGCACTTGACGTCAAATTTATTCTTTTGAAATTTTTACAATACAAAAGGAATTGAAAAGAATAAATTTGACGTCAAGTGCGGAGAACGTAATACCTCGGGACTTATTAAAAGGGTGTATACTGAATTTAGATTTATCGCGTTTTTTCCATACTTGAATTTTTACATGATACATAAAAATCGACTTTCTTTTTTTTCTTTTCTTCTTCTTTGTAGTTGTTTAAAAACACTATTCAATGTTTATTCAACAACATTACTTCCATTCTTCAAGCTTGAAATTATAAAAAATCGAGGTTTTCTTCTTTTTTCTGATCTCTCCTGTGCGTAAAAACGTTTCATTCATTCTTTATTAAACGTTTCCATTTTCCATACTTCAAGCTTGAAATAATAATAAAAAAAATTATTTCACTAGTATACATGAAAAACACTTGATTCAATCTGTTCCTTTTTCTGCATAATATATACATATAATACTGTAGGCATTAGGTAGTTTCCTGCTTAACAGTTGCTCAAGAGTTTATCAAACACAAATCTAAATAAATGAGTTTATATCACAAAAGGACCACAGTCGTGGAACATAATCTTTAAAGATGAACGTGATGTTTTATATTTTTGCACATTCGAATGTCTTTAACATAATGGAACTCTTCAAAAACGTTGCGTACGATATGTCGTAAAAACACTAATTGCGCAACACATAAAAAATTGCTCCTTATACTCTTGATAAGCCGCCTACGATGGATTTTAAGATTTCTCGCGTTGAATATTAGTATTTAGAGCTACTGGTCTTTGGATTGTACTTGAAAGGATCTCGTTTCGAGAAGGATTGAGTTTGTTAAAGGACTTTTAAGGAACTACGAAAACTGTGATATTAAACTACAGACGGAGAAATTGTAATTCCCGCAAATAAGGTAATACTATCTGTAAGGTTTTTTTTCTTTGGTTGTTATATTTATAACTTACATCAATTTAGGAAATTTAACATTACAGTCGATTCAGCTGAAGTATCTGTTTACAAACAGAAAAGATAAGTGCAAAAAACATAGAAAAAATGAGAATTTGGGGATCACGTTTTCGCTAGTCGCCGAAGAAGTACATCGCATATAATAATCAAGTGCAAAATACAAGACTAAAGGCAAAAAAAACTTCAATATCAAGACGATGTAGTATTGAATCGTTAGGTTCAGTATATAATAATAGTTTTGGCGCCTAAAAATCGCCAAAAAGAAAATGTTATACTTAATTGCAAAAAAGTACTGAAATTTGAACGGAAGGAAATTTATTGTTTAAAAATATTATTCTAAAATACGTTTTTAGATATTTGTGATGTCTGTAGCTTTTGCATGAGACTCACAAAATATTCTATTCTAATTAAAATCCTTTTTTCGTAATAAGCGAGCAATTATAGTATTGAGAGACTCGTAGTTGAGTCAAGCAGTATATTTGCATAGTGTGGTTGGTACAAAAGTGCTTGACATCTGGTAAAAATCTCACATACAACTCACCAAGTGAACGGTAAACACAACTGATAAACACAAGTTATTTTAACGGTAAAAAAAGGAGTTTTTGACATGTCTGGACAGGTAAAGATCGTATATGTGTTTCCCTTGAGATATATATATGCAGAAATTATGATCATTTTGAGTCGTATTCCAAGTATATATAAAATATATAAGAAATTATGGGGTATCATCGCCAATATTTTTTTGAATTTGCCTAGCACTAGTACTTTCTGAAAAACAAATTCGGCGATGATATCCCGTAATTTCTGATATTTATATATATATATACTTGGAATCTGAGAAAAAAAAGATTATGATTTCTGCGTATTGCTGTATAGTAGAATATAATTCTATAAATCTAACATTTTTATGCAATTATCGACGAATCCCACTTTAAACTCAATTAATCACTAGACGAGTAAAGTTATCGAAGCAGTGTATATGTTCTCGATCTTTATTTCAATCTTTATTTCAATTTCTTTTCTGATAATCAGTAATGATGTCGTATAATTAAGTTGCTTTTTAAGGAGTTTTTTTTTTTAATTTTTGATGTTGCTCCGGGTGCTCTAAAAATCGCACGCAATGATGATTTGCTGTATTAAAAATGCTGAAAAAAGTGAGATTTAAGAAGACATAGATTTTAAGTGTAAAAATTATTGTTAAGTCTGTTTTTACACCTATTTTGATTTATCTTATCATACGAAAATGGCTCATGTGATCGGATAGGGTTGTGAGGGAAAATAGGGTATACCATCAGGCTAATATAAAAAATCTTTCCATCTCACTGTAATAATTAAACGGATACATGATTTGGACCGTGTTCCGTTCCTCCTAACCGAGCCTGTAATCAGGCCTGATTTTGTCAAACCTGCACCAGACAACTCCCATTTAACACCATTTTGAAATGGTATTAGATGGTGTTTTTGTTGTGCAACCACGCTGGATAAGTATGGCCAAAAGAAGCCATCAAGGAATGCTTAACTCTTTTCATCCCAAAATGGAGAATGGCGGCAATGACCAAGCATAGGTCTAATAATATCAACCAGGCTAATACGTATATTGTGTTGTAGACAATGCAGTCTCGGAAAATCAGCCAAATCCAGCAGCCAAGTATTAAGACTGTTCGTATTGTGCTTCTCGGGCAAGAAGGAGTCGGGAAATCTGGTAAGTAAAATACACTATACAATATCGAGCAGAGAGAAAACTGATAGCGTTGAGATCAGATATCATAGTGCGTTTGAATTTTTTAAGTAGAAAACAATTAGTATTACTCAAGGCAACACAAGAAATGGGGAACGCCTTTCAATTATTGATATAATTGGTTTTGTTTCAGCGCTTGTTGTGCGATTTCTAACAAGACGTTTTATTGGTGAATACGACTCAAACCTTGGTAAGAATAGAATTGAAAATCGAACATTTCTAGTACAGTAAAACCACGTGTATAAGAACCTAAGATTTAAGGAACTATCAGGCTGAAATTTCCAGCAGTAAACTTGGCACTTTTTTGTGTGGCTTATATTTACACACTACTATATTCTGTGTAACTTGGATAATACTAATAGGGTTTGGGCTTAAAGCTCATGTAAAGGTCGCACCCATCAACACAAGTGAAAATCCTAAAGAACCTATAGACCATGATTTAAGCACTGTTTTTATTGTATAGGAACATGTTCAGTATGATTTGGAAGAGTCTAGGTTCTTATACGCGATGTTTTAGTGTATAAAATAAAGAAATCGACAAATACTTTTTATGTTCCAATACAAATGAGAAAAAGACCAAAAGTACGACGGAAAAGCTGTAGTTTTTTCAATCTCTTTTATTCAGAGTCATCGTACAGGCACATTAGTGATATTGATGGGGTTGTGTTCTGCCTGGATATCATTGATACCGCTGGCGAGGTAGGTAACAAATGCAATATTCAAAGTATAAAGCTTCCATTCTCGTACCCAGATCCTTCTCAGTTTCCGGAAATTACGTCAAAGACTCTGGTTGGAAACAAATGATTCTTTGATTTGATTGGTCGAAAAATTCCATGTGTCATCACTGGAAAAAATCGCGCATTTTAAAGGTTGTAAACTAAATATGATGTAAGTGTTCAAAATGATTAACATGAAATTTACATCAAATTTAAATGGGACACTCACATCATATTTATATCAAATTTACAACCTTTAAACATTTAAAGTGCGCGATTCATACTATCCAGATTCTAGGTTTTCCGGTATCGTCTCAAACCAGAGCCGTTGGGAAAATGAGAAGGATCCGGATACGAGAATGTATAGATTTATATTTTGTCTTTTGTGGGTCAGTGTGTCCTTTACCCTACCCCCTTGGATTCTCAGTATCTTTGATTTAATGTATTTGTCTATATGCAAAAGCTAGTAATTTAACATGCACTGGAGTGTTATGTACTTTTCATTGATGTGTTTAAAAACTGAAGAAAATATTGTGAAATCAAATATTATGCAAACTCTAGCACAGTACTAATATCTGAATTTTCACTACCAAATGAAAGTAGGTCTTTTCTGAGATAGCAGTTTGCATTGCATTGTGGTCTAGATTTGGTACAAACATCTTTTGTTCGTGCTGCCAAATATGGCGTTGTTTGTACTGAAGCTAGACCACAATGCATCATGATTTTGTATTTCAGAAAAGGTCTATTGACTACATGGTCTATAACGCATCATATTCTATTTCCTCAGGTAACTGAAAGAAAACTCCAGCAGTGTAGAAGTCAAGGCGACATATTTCTTATACTTTACTCAATTGCGGACAGAAAAAGCTTTCAGGAGGCAGCTAATATTGGAAAATACCTACAAAACGACAGACCGCTTCAAAAACCTAAGGGCCTGGCACTAGTCGGAAACAAAAACGATTTGGAACATTTTCGAGAAGTCGTCAAACCGGAAGCACGTGACTTAGCAACTGAACTKTCGTGCTCATTCTATGAGATTTCAGTCTCTGAGAGAACTGGGTTCGAGGAAGTGAGTGACGTCATACACAGCTGTTTAAGACAATATCTGAAGCATGCGCAGTATGATAGACCAGAGCGCAATGCTTCCGTGTCGTATTTATCAAAAATGAAAGAAGGAATCAAGAAGCGAAGGAATTCAATTCGACGAAAATCTGTCGCTTTTTGAAATAAAATATTAATTATGYGAACYACCTTTCCTATTTCCTCAGATCAACAATATCTAAATCTTATACTTTRTTTAGTCTAAATCGTAGTCCAAAACTCGCGTCCCCGGGATTAGAACTGCATGATTTCCAAATCCAAGATGGCGGAATTTGTAACCAACTTCACTGAATAGCCTGACAAAGCACTAATAAATACCAGTATAATTTTGATTTGATTAACATTTTGAATCCGGGAAAAACATAGTGTACCTGGGACTGAAGTTTGGTTTTTAAAATGTGTAACATGGTTGAATGTCAACTGTGTCTTTGAAAGCGTTCTTTTTTTCATCCTCTTGCAATACCTAACAATAACCTATATTCATAACAAAACAAAAGGAGAGCCGTGATAACGACTTTTGAGGCAATAAAGGGCTTGTCAAGACACCTAAATCATCCCTCTGTTGATTATTCAAAGTTAGTTTTTTACTGACACCTATTATGGCTGTCATAGAGTGCGATGTCATTATTTTTTAGTAATGCAGCACTTGACCCGCGCGGCAGCGGMGAAGGCGACGTTGTATCCGAAACCTCTAATCTCCTCGTCGAATTCGTTTTTCCCTTTTTCTTTCTATATTTCCTYGTAGTTTTCCCTTTTTCAAATATCATCTTTCTTCTAAGGGATAAATTGATTGGTATTGTGCACTTTGGCAGCAACAGAGACACAATAAAMCACGCAGACATCAATGCATGTCGGCCTCTTTAAGCACCCATCTAGTGGAACACAAAAGCTGCAAGTCGCGGCGCGTTTGACTTAGTCAGCTTCCCCCTGACTTTCCTCGTTCCTAGTCCACTTTAGGCAAAAAGTATGACCAGTAACCAATGTTAAACAAGAGGTAAAGAAGAGGAAACATCCTCCTYGAATACTTGTCAATCAAATGMACYGAGTCCTCCCCTGCTCGGAAGCATTCCGGGGGGAGCATCTCCCCAAACTGATAGTCTAGTCTTTTYTTAACTTCTTTTTTCACTAATGGGATGCTGATGACTGTAGAGTTACTTGGGTAGCCATTCGAGAGTTTGGCATCTCGTCTTGGTCGTGAAGAACTTAAGTATCGTTCTCTTTGTTGYGGTTGGCTCTCCATGTCCATGACGTCAGTAATGTGACAACTTTGACTAGTCTGATAAATAATGATTAATAGATAAATACATGGACTTTAGTCCTTATTCACGAGTTAAACAGTTAAAGGTTGCTTGAAAATTACTAATAATATTGTACGGTTTGACAATGTGACAGTTCTGTTGTCGTTGTTCAGTTGTTGTTGTTGAACGAAGTACGAACTCAAATCTATTTTCACTACTGGAAGAAGTGCACACTGTATTAGCCATTCCGGAGTTGCGCAGGAAACTGGGCACTAATCAAAGAAATATTGATCTAATCACGAAACAAACCCCACCCAATGAAAGGACACCCAAAAATTAGGAAATATACCAAGTTTCAAAACCTTTGGATAAAAACTAGCTGAACAGCATTTATTCCTAGTTTCATCAAATTAACAGAGAATGTATTGTTTTGGGGGACGCGGTCAAAATTCCCATTCATTCTCTGTAAATTGCACGACTTCTCATTAATTTAATATTTATCCAAATGATCTGTAACTTGGAACCTACACTAAAGTCGATAAAGTCTTTTTAGTACTCGCTGCTAATAGAATTACATAGTGTAACAGCTCCTATGATGAGTCTTACCTGTAAGCTATTTTTTCTGCTACCATCAATGTTCTTGTCGATAATGTTTAGAACAAAGCAATATTCCACCATCGAAGCGAGGATAAAGAAGAAAGATGTGATCAAATAGTAGTCAATAGCCTTTAAATATGAGATCCGCGGTAAACTCGAATTGATTGATTCAAACAGTACCATCGTACTAAGAACACAAGTTACGGTAAGAGATACTCTAGCCGGAACGGCGTTTTTATTAATCCAGAAGCTAAGCCATGAGATAAACACGATGAACGCAGAAGGGATATAGTGTTGGAGAAAGAAGTACGATGCTCGACGTTTGAATTTGAAAAACACACGGAGACTGTCGAACGAACCTGTAAAAACAGGCAGTATTATTTAAAGAGATTGAAGGGCAAACACCTGTAAAATGAAAAGCTGTATGCATAGTGACAAATTTTATGTTAACTCGTTTGTTTTCTATTGCATGTTCAATAGTATTTCATAGGTTTTTTATATATCAAAGTACTTCACGTACAGGTATAGAGTGGGAAACTTCGCCCACTAAACACTCAACAAAATTTGATTAGAGTAGAAGAGTTCAAATAAAAGAAAACAAATAGAATATGGTGAACTACTAACAAATGGACACCCTAAATCCGTGAAAAAATATAACCAATTACAACTAAATAGTGTTGATTAGACAATATTAAACAAAAGAATTAGCATTATTCAGCACATATTTAGATTGTTAAAGTTTCACAGATTACGTGCGTTCACTCGAAATGTTTCACGGGTTTACCGCCTCTATTGTGCAGTGTGTAGTTAAGTTACACTTTACAGTTTAAAGCTTACCTTTACTGTTACTTGACTCTAGTTTTGAAGTGTACACATCCTTCATATCGAATTGTGCCATATCATCAGCGTAGATTTCAATGGACGTGTCCTGCCCCTTGACGTTCCAGTTGTATATCACGTCCGCAACGGTGTAAGCATCTGTCAAAGACATGACAAATTGAAACTACTGTGCACTTAAAATATAGTACGAGACATCTAGTGGACTGCTAGTTAACAGTCCATGAGGTTGTACATTGCGTACTCTGTTATGTTCAAGAAGTTGAAATAACTCCAACAATGGAGTTAAAGTTACTCTAGACCATAAAGAAAAATTGCGTATTTACAAAATGTATTAATTATAAATAGTGCTAAATAGCACAATATAGTAACATAAAACAAAGTGTTTGCACTATACTTGCATCAGTACTTTCGGAGAACAATGCGTCCGCCATATTTGAAAAGTAAGACCCGAATCAATATGTTTTCTCTTACAACACATTTCGTAGTTACTAAGTCAACTAATCACTAATCTATCATTATATCGTATAATTGTATTAACTTGACATTAGCTCAGAACTTTTTAATCATTTAGGAGTTATAATTTTGTGATTCGAGCCCCACTCTTCAAGATGGCGGACGCATTGTTCTCCTAAAGTACTGATGCGTGTATACTTACAACTTTCTATTTTCAGCAAACAGACTTGGGTGTCCATTGGGAACATGCTGAACTCCATTTTACACTGAGCAGTGAGTGTCACCCTGTAGAAAAATATTGTATTACTCTTCCTTCCTTAAGGCCCGTTTACACTTGCGATTTTTGCAGCGCGATAATCGCTACTTTGCTGTTACGCACCTCAAATCGTACGTGTAAACAGCCCTCCGATTGTTGCGGCGATGGAAAATCGCCGCGAAGTTGCAGCCAATTTTCGGCAAGCATGTTCGAAACTCAGGTGATGGTCGCACGACGATCGCCGCGAGAATCACTCTGCAAAAATCGCAAATGTAAATAGCACCACCTCATAAAGCATTTCTTACCTGGTACTGTAGTATATACGTCCATTGGGCCAAATCATAAGACGAGTGTTTTCACGAGTCACGTGATGAAAATTTGATGACTTAACATTGACGAAATATGTATCTGGAGTCCAGAAGTATTTGGTTGGATTCATCGCCATATTGAAGGTTTTTTTAATGCCGTGAGCCAGCCGGTGATCTGTCCACCATTGTCGGAAAAATATATCGAGTGTAAAGTCCTGAAAACAAAGGTAAATGGACACAGTCTTCTTCACGGTTCCCTGCGCCATCTTGAAAGTTAACTGCGCCTTTGCAGTGAAGCAAGATGATCGCTGAGCCTTGCAGTGTTAGAAACAATTATCTAAAGGTATCTGTCATTGCAGGTTCACTGGTCATATGGCTTCGATGCAAAGACACGCTCAAGATGTTGGAGAGGCCGTGAGCTGAGAAGATTTCACGACAGGCTGATAAAGTGATGATAGTAAATATGATGGTGATAATGAAGATTTGATGCGATTCAATTCAAAATTGATAAAAGGAGCCTATAAATAATGAAGCTACATTTAAAAGAATCAAATTTTAAATAAAAGACCTAGGAAATTGTTGGACGCCACGTGACGTCAAATCGTAAGTTATTGGACGAAAACCGCGTACTGATGAATTGCTTCAATTTCTAAAGCGATCAATACTATTATTGATGATTGCTGCTAATAGTAGAGTGTGATTTTGAAGAGATTATACTTCCTCCCTCCTCACCAATAACTGAATGTGATTTTTACCATCTCGTCCTCTCGAACCTTCCCAAATGACATGATCTTCATTTCTACTAATACTTCTACTGGGGCACCTGTGTTAGAATAGGAAATGTTAATGGCCTTATTGCCAATGCAGCCCCCATCCTGAATTATGAATAAATTATTGAATTTTCAGAGGGGATCACATACTTTTGATGCGCGCAACATGATCAAGTCAAGAATCCCTCGAGAAAAAAAGGGATTGCCATCTTCAGCATCTTGTTGGATGAATGGACAAGAGAAGCTAAGGAGAGCTTTCTTGTATCCAACATGGTGGCAATCCTGTAACGTGGGTGCACACTAACAAGAATTGGCAAATAGAATAGAGCGGATTTCGTATGAGTGGGACACCGTTACCGCACGGTTACCGCACAGTTACCGGACCTGGCCGGCACAATTTTGGTGAACCAATGGGGCACTAGAATTTGGTTACAGTACGATTACGGTCACAGTACAGTACCGTCCGTTTCCCACTCATAAGAAATCCGCTCTAGTGTCGAAAAATTACTTTCTCTCCTACCTGAGTCGTTTGGTCTGACCCATTTGTCATAGCCATTAGTAATTTTAATCATTTCTCGCAGTTTGGCAGCTACCGCTGTGTAACTTGTATTATATTTTTTGGATTTCTGAACTGGAATTAGAACAAAAACATGTCAAGTATATAATCGGTTTCTTAGACCAATCATTACCAAGGAATCGGAAGGGAAAGTAAGGCATGTTTATCAGTACAGGCCGGACTACAATAGAGTTAAAAGGTCCATAATCAACCGGCATTCAATGCGGTCGTGTTTTAGATTTCCCATATATGGAAAATTAGGTGACTTCAAATATACATTCATAATTCGTTCCCATCTTTCGTTTTTAAGATCGAATATTACAATATCCTCATTGATATAGCATAAATGGATAATAAAGAGTTATATTTTGCTTATATTACGATGTATTTTTATCCTCAAACATAAGCAAGATCTTGTAAGTGATGCCCTTTTAATTTGTTATATAATCCAGTTCGGTTTCATTTTATCATACTTACATGGATTGCTATATGTCGTACCACTACTTCGCGTCTGTCTAATACCATATACGGTTTTACTGTTAAAGCACACGCAGAAACAAACATTAAACTAATTGGTCACTGATCCTTTTGGGTTTGGGTTTTGGTTTTGTCCTAGTATCATTAGTGATGAGAATAAGTATGAAGGGAAAAATAACAGGTCAAGGAATACCCATTTGAAAGCAAAAGATAATGTCAGCATGGAGGCTTACTAGAGGAAAGGATAGAGCACAAAACGTTGCTTTTAATTGTGAAAGGTTTTAGAGAAATATTTGCTTAAATCGCCAGCAATTTATCAGAGACACGAAAAGGTACGGCGACTTCTTTGATTTATTAATAAGGAGTAAGTTTACAATGTTTAGATTACGCAACATTGACGACATTTAGTTTTCATGGGTTGATTTGATTGACTAATATGTTTGCTTATTTGTTAATTACTTATAGTACCTATTCGAATATAACCTAACGGAGACTTTAAACAACCGCAAACTTCATTAACGCCGCCGTGGCCGACAACAGGGCGTCGGTCAGGCGTCGGTGGTTTAATGTTTTGATATGGTGCATGAAACGCATGTTATGTTATGATAATGTTTGTTTTGACATAGTTTAGTGCGTGTTATGAGATTGAATAGAGAGCAAACTTTAAAACCAAGAAAAGTTTAGTAATTAGATACTGCTAAATTGTTCTGAATTATGCGAATTCCTCTGTTTTCTTTTGCCTAATCTACCCTATACAGTCAACTATCGCTATTACAAACACCCTCGGACTGTAATTTAGTGTCCGCAGTAGCGAGAGTCCGTAGTAACAAGAGTTACTTTTAGTCAATTCTTTGTATTTTTCGCCTAGGATTCAGTATTTTACTGTCCGCAATAGCGAGGTGTCCGTTGTAGCGGGGTGTCCGTAAGGCGCGAGTTGACTATTTTGCGCTATCTAGCACTATACTTTGCGTAGAGTGAAGTAAAAAAACGTGAAATACTGAAGTAAAAAAACCCGTGAAATAGATATTACACTAATACACCTTAGTACGTTCTGAATGTATTGCTTTCTTTTGTGTGTATTTCACCATCACACTTTAACAGTTAGATTGTTTCACGGGTTTAATGACCTCGCTCTGATACTTTTCACGCTTTTAGTGTTGGGACTTTGTTTTGATATGGTAATATATGATCTAATATAAATAAAGTTTGTTTTGATATGCGGTTATTGCTGATATTGTGTAATTGGATGTTTGTATGATCGATTAATAGATTATTGTTATGAGAAGAAAATATTCATGTTTTAACAAGTAAACATTTTTTAGTCAAAAACGTTTGGTTGCGGGGTTTGATTCGCTGGACTTTTATCTACATTTTTAAGGTCCGCACGTCACTAGTTTCTGCATTGTTTTGTATCTGAATTTATAGCTGAAATTTATGTCTTTTAAGTAAAGAATAAAGTAATGAAATACCAGAATACAAACACTAACAGTGTAAGTAACATAGTTACAGTCAACTCTCGCCTTACGGACACCCCGCTACAACGGACACCTCGATATTGCGGACAGTAAAATACTGAATCCCCGGCAAAAAATACAAAGAAATGACTGAAAGTAACTCTCGTTACTATACGGACTCTCGCTAGTGCGGACACTAAATTACGGTCCCGAGGTTGTCCGTTATAGCGAGAGTAGACTGTACCATTAAATACTGTTAAGGTATATGTTAGAGTCATTACACACGAAAACCAAAATTTGACTATTGGAAATCTTATAGTAATTGTTTCACGGGTTTAATGGAACTGCACTGTTTTTCAACACAGAGGAAACCATCAAAGATCGTAGAGAAAATACTTTGAAAGCTTTTAAAAGTCTTGTAATAACTATTTTCAAGACATTTCCTTTGGTTTTTGATAATTTCGACTTTAAGACAAAATAATTTTCAAAGGTATGGCGGTTTACCAGTAAACTAAAAGCGTGGGTGTCACTTCATTGCGATACAAATAACAATTATAAACTGTTAATAAACATGTGAAAACAATAAAAAATGTGTTAAAAATGCTTAGTTATAATCTTCTACTTTATTACTTAACTTAAATGAAATGCCTTTGTTAGCCATACGTTTCCAAGGAAATATATATGCGGTTTGCGAGGTTTAACCATCAGTTAAATAAAAGAGATTTTATAAATACATGTCAGTTACCACTTCTTCAGTTCAAAAAAAGTTAAACTTACATCATGAAAAACTGCGACGTTTTTAGCTGGCTACAAAAACAAGTCTTCTAATTTCACAGATTTGGCATACACTTAGCATTTTTTAGTATTTTTAGATCCAATTTATTTAATCATACAAAAAATAAAACGCTGTCTGTCAATCCTTGCATATTTTAAGTTATAACCATTTTTGAGTTTTTAATGTTATATTTATTAAGCCTGCGTTCATAGCCGCAGGATTCGATGGAACGCTGAAGATTTAATATGTCTCTAGTAGCGTCGAAACGCCTAAAAATGTTTTACATAATTCAAGGTATACGCCAACGAGATTAAGAATTGAATGAAAAAAGCAGAATTGTAGAATTATCTTTGTGTTTACAAAGGAATTAGTTTAAAACTATAGCGTACAAATAAAAATATTGACAATTTATAAGCTTATCTAGAAAAAGAGAATTTTTTTTCTTAATGAGAAAAAAAGAGCCATCACGCCACATGAACCTGTCATCAAATTAAGACCAACTGAGACTGGTGAATTTAAACCTTTTTTTATTTGAGCGTGCTGAGGATACAAAGTCCTATTAACTTTAAGTCCAACTGAAAAACACTTAATTTCGGCTAGTAAGCTTCAAAATTAAGAGCATTAGCAGGAACAGGACGCGGATAAATCCCTTCTGATCGCCATGGAAAATCGTGAGCTATTGCAAGATTGCTGATCAAGTAAAACTTTCCTTTTCTACAAGTAATTCAGAATCGTTTAATAATTGAGCTGCTTAAGATGTAAGTCGAATCCTAAATAACCTTTTAATTCTGAAAGTCGCAAAGTGATGGCGATGACATGAAAGCAAAGCAACTGGAGTGGAATCTTAGCATAAGTATTCATATTGGTTCTTAATTTTTGACATAACATATATTTTAAATTATTTTCTAGGAAGATTTAAGGGTTTTATGTTAAACCTTTTCAACAGAGGTTTATGTATATTGTTGTCAGATTACATTGTAATATAATAATTCAAAATGGGTTTGCTCTGATTATTATTATGAACAATGAAAGGGTCTTACCTCATTTTTAGAATACAAAGAGAAACTGCAAATATAATGAAGACTTCTTTTCTTTGCAGAGACATGTTTCTGTGGAAGAAACGTTACAAATGTTTTAGGTAGTTTTATAAGGGTCAGTAACCACTTTCAAGTGAGGCATCTTAAGAAACCGCAAGACCAAAGAAACAAGAAACATGAACCAAAGAGTATTTATAGCACAAAATGTGTTATTGCTGTCTTTTGTTATTCAAATGAGAAATAATTGAGTCAAAATGTTGGGAAGAAATAAAATGCAAAAAAATTACGATAACTCAATAACAAGTATTTACACTATTTCCAAGAAACTTTTTGATATCGTTAAAGTCCCGCCGTTTCTGCTACTATTTCTTCCATTCATTTAAAAAGTTTTTAGTTTGATTCCAGGATAAGTGTTTCGATATTCTGATAAACCTGTTTCGTTTTTTTTTTCGTTTTGCTTTGTCGCAAAAGTGAATTCATTTCTTACTTATTTAGTACTTAGATCAATTGTTGTTTTGTTTAGGTATTTTGTCGCACGAATGACAGCTAGTCACGTCAAAACATTGTAAGTTTCAACGTACGCGTTTTTACACTTTTYTCTGGTGTGTAAAAGAATGAATATTTTAACCGATTGAATATTGCATTAGCCGAGATTCTGCCTCCATTTCTTTATAGACATGTTAACGTTGAATAGCAGCGTTAACATTACAGCGTCTTGTATGAACTTTATATATATATCGCCTGATCGCCTCATAAATGAACCGCCGGTACTGGCAAAGATGAACGGMGTTTTTTTTCTTATATTGACAAACCATTCTCGAATGAAATGAGTCCGACCAACTTCGCAAATACTCGGAAAATGCAATGCGGTTTTTGAAAGGCACTGACATTAAATTTAAAGCTTTAGAATTACGGTTCAACATAAAAAAAAGATACATTTCAGTTTTAATGAATTCGGCAGCGAAAAATAGCGTTAAAGAAAAGAGCCTTTTGGTTTGAATTCAGTCGTATTCAGGAGTTCTTTTGTGTTGGTTTTTGTCTGCAGCATAGCGTCTTGGTTTGTCCCTGAAGCAATATGAATCACAAAAAATAACAGACTGCCGTGATAATGCGTAGGAACGAAAAAATCTCTGAAATCATAAARAATTCCCCCCTCTGTAGGATTAAAAAATTATCAGCGCAAAACATTAAATCATGAAAGCGATAAGGAAACGTTGAACGACTTGAAGTACAAACGATAATCGCTTGAAAGTCGAGTACAAACGATTTCAAATTGCGATCATTTCTAACGATAATAGACTGTATTTGTTGAATAAACCTGGTGATACCGGAAGGAAACTATAACCGTTAAGTAAACCCTATTGTACAGCATTTACTCTGTCGAGATTATTCACAGTCAAAATAATCAGATAGAAAAGTACGTTTCCCGCGTGAAAATACAACAAAATTCTACGTACATGTATGTAGTGCAGAGTGACCACCTTGATCTCTCGAGGATCTCTAGATAAGATGCTTGTCCACTAGGTTATATGACGGCGAAGTCAGTTAGATATCGTTAGAATGGAAATCAATAGCAATTGATATTAATTTGAATTTTGCAGCATTGGTTCTCAGCTGTACATCTAGGCGTAAAAGATGATTAGAGCAACTCCGGCAACTCCGGGAGAGAGTGTTGACGGATCACCTGTATCTCAACCACACACTTCACCACGCTGTTAAGCTGTCATTTCGAATGCGAATTACGACAAATCAACTGTGTGCGTTTAGTACGTGTTTACTAAACATGCAGGACTACTACTTGGAACTACCGCTTTGGACACGACATGTTCCGAATGATTCCGCACAACGCGGTCACTTCCACGCAAAGAATCACGGTAGTGGCTTTGAGAGTGTGTTAGAAATCAGAATGGGAGGAATTGCGTTGTTTTGATTTGTAGAAAACGCTATTGAGTGTTGTCATAAAAAATTGACCAAAAATGAGTCATTAGGAGACAGTTGACGTTAGACAAACGAAATTCTTCGATTTTCGCTTGTTGGCGATTATTATTTTTAGATATATTTACCCTTTTGTTCAGTTCACATGTATGTATGAGTATTTTGGTAATGAAGATTTATTTAAAATAGCAAAGAAGACGATTATTTAAGCCAAAATCATACTTGATTTAGCCATATAGGCTCACATTTATGTTAGTAGAAAATGCGTGGTTATGACTTAAACCCTTATCAGATTATACGTTTTTTATATCGTGTGCATGGACTACCTTAAGATTGTGATTAAACCTTTTAAATCCGGTGTATGTTTTTAAATGCCGATTATTATCATTGTTTAGACTGCAAGTCTTACACACTGAACAATAAAACAACTTAGGAAAAATTAAAGCGAAATCTTTTGTCATTTCAAGTCCTTCTTTAATTGTCTTCTCCAAATGTCATCATGTTCTAGACGCTTTTAAGCTGTAATTTGGTTTGAAAATTCCTTTTTATGAAAGGTCTGTGGGGCATTCAAATGAGTTATCTTGTTATGCSGTTGAAATAGAATGTAATGGCACTCCAAACTAATAAAACATAAACAATACAGTGTTAATATATGAAGTAAAGTTAACATTTTGTTTGTCACGAAATCGAAGGCTCCTTCATTATTGACATTCAAATGGTTTCCTTGAATTATGCTATGACATTCAAATGGCTTCCTAAATAACTACATGTATAAAATCTAAATTGCAAAGCGAAAATTTTTTTGAAATGAAAATATAATAAACAGGAACAAGTTAATTGGCTAAAATAAATGTAACAATCTCGCGGTTTTAAAAAAATTGAAGGAATTTATTATTTTCGCAGTTTTTATTTAATGTTTCTGCATTGACTTTTCGATGGTTCCCAAGATGGTCTGTGTTCTTTTTTTAGGATAACTGAATTACATTTGTTTTGTTTGTTGTTACATCTATATTTTTCGGTTCTGAACGTAAATCATAAGGACATTTACAATGAAACTAGTTAATATCGAGCCAATCAAAAAACTTTGTATGTAATTTGAGAATTATCTAGAAAAAAACGCCGTAACAAGAATATCGAAAGAGGCTATAAATTTGTAATTGAAATCCCGAGGGGGTAAATAATACCTTGTTAAGTTTTATTTCTAAATCTCGTACAAAATACTGATTAAGTTATTAAATGGAGAAAAGTACCGCCTAGACAATATGATTTAGTTTAAGCTTAAGCCAGGATCAAACGCCGAGCTACAGGTTCTTTGTGTAAGCAAGCGTTTCAGAACTTTTTAAGGCACAATATTTAGCAACCACCGTGCCAAGTGGCATTTCTTGAAAGGAAAATCTATTTTAAATACACAAGGTTCAAAAGCTATAAAAATAAGAGAACTACAAGGTGTTAMAGTTTTGTGCAGAACATCTAGAATTAACGTAAAAAAGCATGTTAACGTGTGCGCACGACAACAACTGCGGTTTAATCTTTTGAAGGATTTCGTGCGATAACCGTATCAGTGCGCAGTCGTAAACGTACGTAGAACAACCGTTTCGTAACACTGGCAAGTGCCAAAACAACGTGCGTTAACTAATCTTACGAAATGCTTCGTATACGATGACCGCGCCGTGCGGTAAATGTGCAGTAGCGGTTTCGTAACAAGTCGGTAAAAATACGTGCGGTATATACGCAAGGTCCCGTTAATCTGCTCAAAATATAGAACGCCGCTAAATAATGGGCTTTATGCTAGATATGCAGCGATAAATGCTTGTCTGTTAGACCATTTGTGGCAATTGACTACGTGGTACAAAAAACTCCATATTGGATTCCAGAACAAAAGAATATAAATTTGATTAGCAATGAATTGACCAAAATGTTTACACATAAAATTACGAAAACTCTTAAATGGTCTTAAATTGCCTTAAAACTTGACACATTTCGCACTTACAGTACGTACAATACAATAGTTGTCTGGGCAACTTCTATATGCAATAGTTGAACTCAATATTGAAATCAAGAAAAAAACTTTAAACGGTTACTAATAAATAACTTTTATTTGTATATGCAGCTGTGTGTATTCTTTTTGTCCATTTGTTGTTTTTTCAGTATATCGAAACAATTAGCTTTTATTTCGTAGATATAATACTTTGTTTACTGTACAAAAACATCGTGATTTCGATCAAAAACGTTGGTTTTACTCATTCTTCCAATTGTGTAGATGTTTTATTAGTTGTTATGAGTATTGAATAATTACAATACTGAATGAATTGGACTTTTCTCAACGAAATAGATTGCATTGACAGGTCGTGCTGAGAATGTATGTTTTTATCCTATATGATTAAATGGATATTTGTACTCAACCGCAAAAAATATAAACATTTATAAACTTACAAATGCTTTGCTCCTTTTGTTGTTATTGCGAATTAGACACATTAAAGCTTATTTAGCCTTTTGAGGAATTACTAAAGGAATTCCGTGAAAAATGAATGTAAACTGCTGGAGAAATTTAATGTGAATTTCAATAGAAAATAAAGGAATGACTGTAAATACTTGTAACACATTTAATAACATTTTGTAATTTCAGTTCTCTAAACAGAATTAGGTGGTAAAAAATGATTTTAAAAAGTGCGAAACTCAACAACAATGCCTTCATACCCTGTATCTTTTGCAAGCTCTATTCTCTCTTCTTATCCCGTTGCGAGACAAGAGTGCTTTTTTCTTTGAGTTTCAAATCCAAAAACAAATACAAATGTGATAAATGTATGCTATTCTTACCTCAGTATTTTAAATGCAATAGTCGATTCTCTAACGGCAGGAATGTTTAAAAAAACCTTCTTAATAATAACAATAATTTAGCGGTCCAACGACAGGTGTTTGTATAATATAAAGAACAACTTGATTCAAGAACACGCATGCGCAGTATACTTGTAGTATTCGGTGATCTGAATAGCACTCCACCAACCTAATAAATTTTGTATCATTACTAAACAATCATGTATTCATTAAGCGTTTCATTGACAATAAACACTAAAGCGTTGATTGTCAAGTGTTGATCAGAGTGAATAACTTAAGTTTGAGTTTGTTTATATAGAAAAAAAAATTCAAATTCATATGAAGAAATTGAGCTGAAACTTTTAAAATTAAGCTTAAAATAACCGAATGTTAAACCGAATGTCAACACGTAATAAGTGTTTAATGATTTCCAGCTACAATTTTATAATAAAGCATATGTGTAAATAGTTTTGAACTAGTTGTTCTGGCTTTTAAGGTCTCGAATGAATACCTTAATGTAGTCACGTTGATTTCTCGTCGCAGGTCGCCATATTGTTTTGCAAGTCGAGCAGTTTCTCGTTCTCGTTCCATGTCGACTGTTTCAAGAATTTTGAATTCAACTTTAAATCGAAGAAAATACATGTGATATCATTCATGTCATTGCATTGAAATGCAAGGAAGAATTAGCAATGTTATCGCTAAAGCACATGGAGCCATTTCCAAGAAATATTCCTTCATTTGATTTATGGCGGGAATTTGTTTCGGTGCGCGCGCGGTCGACGCGGTCGCGACATGGAGGAAATGACGTAATGATGCAATTCCGGAAGTGAACTTAAATTATATTTATTGCCAAGTTGTTTATATATTTTTTTCAAATAAATCTTTACATTTAAAGGATTACAGTATAGCAAATTATCTTCAATTTGTTAAAAAGATGTTTTTCTGTATCAACTAACACAATCTACTTTTCTACTTATTGCAAGTAATATACATTCAGTATAAATATTATACGGATCACTAAAGACTACACAAATACAGAATTATTAGAGAAAGTAATGTTTTGGTACCATTCTATGTATTAATGTGTGCTTTTGAATTCTCGACATTCCATTTTTCTTGCATTATTGCAAGAGTTTGCCCTAGGATTTGGGGGAAGCGGTCAACCCCATTGATATCTGTCAAATTCCATTCCTTGGGATTACAAAAACTTGCAAATTAACGCGCATCTGAGACAAAATTCCTGTYTAGAGGGAATCGTTATCGATGCCAAAAGGAAGACAAATTCCCGTGGGGGGGCCGCCCCTCCCCYCATCATCGGCAAACCAATTATAGGTGCATAACACCTATTTAATGTTCACAATTCTTTATATGAAAATGATTCCTGTCATATGCCACCCACCCACCCCTAACACTATAGTAGTAAACATCATTGCAGTCTTTATTCACGGCCAATACGTTGACTCGAGGGACTTGGGGTGTTGTATCCAACCACGATGAAATAGCCCGTATATTCCCCGTCACACAGCGGCTCTTGTTTAGATAGTAATATAAATCTAGAAAGAAAAAGAAAAACAGATGAATTTGGTAGATATAGAGTTTAGTTACCAGTCCAAGACCCAACAATGATGCCTTGCGAGCTGCGCCAGTAAGCGGGACATAATGTACCTGTTCTGTTGGTAAATTTCGAGAAGTTGAGTTTCAGTTTTTTCTTAATCTTCTTCCACTTGAAGTAGATTCCAACTATTTCGTCAACTTCCTGGATAAAAAGATGGATTAATGTAGTACATACATAACATAACAGTGCCAGCATAAAACACTATACGTGAGGGGAAACGTCCAGGATTTCTTCATTATTTATGAAACGAAAAGTAAAGCCCTTTTGCCAATACTTTGCCGATTTTGCTAATTTGCCAAGTTAATGCTATGACCTCCTCTTAGAAAACTTCCTGGATCCGCCCTGGTATCAAAATCAAAATAGACCTGTGAATTCTGAAAAATTTACCTGTGATTCGGGAGGAAAATATTCAATATTCAAGTACAGACAAGAGTCTCCTCTTTTCACACAACCTTCTTCGCACTTCATAATGAGATATGGTGATTTTGGTGCTAGGAATACATAACAAAGTGTCCCTACGATCAGCAAGAATAACAGGAGAAGAAGAAACTTCTTCCAGACACCTATAGATAAAAAACATTAAGGTTATTTTGTTAGGTTTCGCTCATTACCAGCACCAGTGCCAACAACGTCATATTTTCCATATTCCACTTTACTATCAAACCACGTAAAGAAGTTTTCCCGCAATAAAAACATTGTCATACCTTTGAGATATTTTTGTACTTTAAGGATTTTGTCGCGGCACTTTCGGAGTTCGTCCAACGTTTGCCGCTGGTGCAAATCGCTGATTCCCAAGACTATAGAGACGAGGCAACGCACAAGTTTTATATCAACGTCATCATAGCTCTCCATAGCCATACCGAGTAGTGTTGGCCTTGGGCTGTCGGGATCTAGTGGATTAGAAACGACTTTGACTTATGCTACACTTAGGCTACAACAGCAGGCGTCAAAAAATAATGAGACATGAATAACAAATATTTTTCCCATTCAGTCTTGGCTTTGATGATTTCACTTTTTTGTTAATGAACACACCATCATCAATTATACTTCCCAATCTCCCTCGTATGTAATTACACAGCTTTACCATCAGAATAGACGCTATGACATTCAAAACCTACCATCAAATTGAATCTCGGGATCCCTTGGATTTCTGGCAACTGCTGTTCCGCGTCGTAGTATGCAGTCTGAGGTGTAGATTAAATCCCCGGCATGCACTTTGCCATGGACTTTAACGTCAACTTCACCAATGATGCAAACTAGATCTGAATCTAGATAAAGAGAGACATTGAGATTGAACTTTAGTCATGCCTTTGCAGTTAAATGTATTAAGCTATCTAATATTTAAATCTTTCATTTTGTAAAATCAGTAAAACAAACTCAATAAGGAAATCCATTGTAATTATTTAACCAATCACCAATCAAATCTTCCTACCCACGTGATCAGGATCACAAATCGCCTTCCGCCCTCTGAAAAACGCGGTCCTACTTATGACACCAGCGAGACGAGCATATTTGACGTTTTCTGTAGTCAGGAAATCAATGTATGTATCTCCCTCGTTGTCTTCTAGGAAAGCCACGACGTCACCTCTTTCTAAACCAGTCGGTATTTCATCGTCTTGGCATCGAACTTTCATGAAGTATGCTATGTCATGATTATCGGTTTGGATGTACTCACAGTGTATGTTAGTGATCTTGGCTGTTTCGGCTTGGAGGTGTCTGCAGCTAACATGGGATTTAGGACCTACAAATACAACAACACATACACAAAACAGTTTTAGTAGAGCGGTTATTAAAGGGCCATCTCCAACCGGCATGCAATGCGGTTGTGGATTAAATTTCTAACATTCAGAAGATCATTTCGAGTAACTTCAGATAAAGATAACAAGCTATTTCAAGCTGATCCTTTAGTTCTAAGGAAGAAAACGCTCACTATTTGCATCTTACCAATTGCTTCTCTAATTCCAAGTCCGTTGTCGACGTTGATATCTGAATAATGAAGGTTCATAAACACTTATCATTGTTTGAGTTTGATACTGTGATACGCTGATACTGTGGTAAGTTGTTGCTGTCATACGTTGGTACTGTGATACGTTGGTACTGTGATACGTTGGTACTGGGGTACATTGGTACTGTGGTACGTTAGTGTTGTGATACTGTGGTACGTTGATACTGTAATACGTATACGTTGGTACTGCGGTACGTTGGTAGTGTCATACGTTGGTACTGTGATATACGTTGTTACTGTGATACGTTGTTACTGTGTTGTTACTGTGGTACGTTGGTACTGTGGTACGTTGGTACTGTGGTACGTTGTTACTGTGATACGTTGGTATAGTGGTGCGTTGATATACTGTGATACGTATACGTTGGTACTGCGGTACGTTGGTAGTGTCATACGTTGTTACTTTGATACTTTGGTACTGTGGTACGTTGGTGTTTTGTTGCGTTGATACTGTTGTACGTTGGTACTGTGATACGTTGGTACTTTGATACGTTGGTACTGTGATACGTTGGTACAATAGTAAGTTGATACTGTGAAACATTTCTTTGTATTGCGGAACGTACGTTGGTACTGTCATACGTTGTTACTGTGGTACGTTGGTACTGTCGTACGTTGATAGTGCGATACGTTATTAATACCAACGTATCACTGTATTAACGTAGCACAGTACAACGCATCACACAGTTACTGCGATACGTCTGCATTGCGATACGTCGGTACTATGACACGTTGGTACTATGACACGTTGGTTCTGTCAAACATTGGTACTAGTACATTGGTACTGCAATTAGTTGGTACTGACATACGTTGGTACTGTGTTACACTGGTACATTTGTACGTTGGAACTGAGATAGGTTGATATTGTGATACGTAGGTACTGAGGCAGTCTGGTACTGTAATTCGTTGGTAGTAATGTGGTACGTTCGTAATTTGGTAAGTTGGTACTGTCATACGTTGGTATTGTGGTGTACTGAAACTGTGATACGTTGGTACCATGGTGCGCTRATAGCATAACTGAGCATGCTCAGTTATCAGCTTGTTACCAGTACCTTGTGCGGGGGTACGACCACTCTTCAATACAAACTCATAAGGCATGAGTCTTTCTTTAAATCCATTGTTGAACGAAAGTGTTATCGAAATCTGAAAGAGGTTGTTGATTGCGCCTTTCGACTTGACAAGCTTATAGACTTCCTTCTTGCCATCGTCTGTCAGGTACACCGAATCAAGGTCGAGTTCACAACGATAACAAAAGGAATAGTTCGCGTCAGTAGTTTCTGAAATAAAATCAAGTGATTCTACGTTATAAAAAAAATGGATTTTAGTTCTCTAGAGGGACTTGTCTTTTCGCTAATACGTAAGTTGAGCGTGCGCAATGAATACAACATTTCGATCGTTACTGTTTGCAATACATAGCATAAGTTTTACATGTAAGTGAGAATTTGAAAAGACGGTTTTGCAGTTACAACTCACTTACTCTCGTTTGTAAATAGGCGTACTTCACGGATTCTGGTTTCATCCATGGTGTACTCATCAGGGTGTTCATGGCACAACTTTTGGGCTGCCTTCGGATCTCGCTTAACGTAAATTTCAACCGGAGAATCGCTGAGAGGGATTTTGGTCATTATTTTAAGATGGACCTATTTATAAGAGATATTTTGTCATTACTAATTACTTTACTTGTTACGATAAAGATGTTCCTATTACGCTCACTATAATCACTCGTTCACAATCAATGTCATAATCACAATCATAATCGTTCAGTTACAATGCGTTCAATGTCACGGCAGTGATCAATGTCACGACCATGACTAGCCTGCGTAGCGGCCCTAAGGGAATTGAGAAGGGCCGACCGAGCGGGGACTATTATTCCTCCCCACTCCCCGCTCGACCGGCCCTCCCCAATCCCGTTAGGACCGCCACGCAGGCTAGACCCTGACAGACAACCGCGACTGCAATAACTTTCAGAAACACATCTGTCACGCACGATCATTAAACGAAATGTTACGAAGAATAGCACTTACCACACCACACTGCACTCTTTGCTCCGAGCGACGCGGTCCTTGAAGAAACTTTTTTTGATTTTTGTTATATTCTCGTCTTGGATTCAACACTTCACATGATGCGTTTGGCGAAGAAGCCCGAGTAATATGCTGAATTTTAGGCGATCGTGGTCCACGGTATGAGCTATATCCTGTACTAGCGGTACTTAAAGGGGATACAGCATCGATCTCTCGAGAAGACGATGGCGAGTCACCCTCATACACAATGTGGGGGATAACATGGGCTCCCTGTGCCTTTGTGGGATCAATCCCAGAATCCCAATGAATACCTACTTGTAAAAGATCCGGTCCRGAATTTTGCTTTCTCATCGGTGAAGTTGTATCGTTTAAGTTTAAATCTTCAAAAACAAAGTCKTGGGTATCCTGTCTTAGATCGTAGATACCCTGTRGACTCTGCTCCTTKGTTTCTTGTGGTCTCACATYTTGGGTTYCCTGTGGTCTAACGTCTTGCTTTTGTGGACTGTRSCCAAAGTTTCCCTGTGGTCTTGTCGGTTGGGTTCCCTGTGGTCTAATACATGGCGTTCTCTGTGGACTGAGGTCAAGGTTTCCCTTTGGTCTCAACTCTTGGCCCCCCKGTAGTCTCATTTCGTTACCTTTTGATGTTTGGTAAGTACCCAGCAACAAACTGCTCACCGATGGAGTTCCTGTGGTAGCTACTGTTAGTGGAAGATTGTGCATTAGATCCAAATGCTCTATKTCGTATTGAAATGCACTTCCACCGAATTGATTAGCAAGGTCGGGTTGCATACTCTCGCCTACAAGAATGACAACAATTATCAAATTTATCAGGATATATACGCATGGTATTCACCAACTTAAACTAAATTTTAATGGCCATGGGCTATTTGTAATAGGCAACTGTTCAACTAAAGAAAAACCGCGGTACCACATAACATTGTTAGGGTCATATTTGTTTATAAGCTAAATAATAATCTAGATAACTTTAAATTTAAAACTAGAGTGCAAAAACTGATTAAAAACATGAAAAAAACTCAACAAATAGTGCTATATAGACGCATAAAAGTGGGAATTAGGCATTAGAAAACGAAAGAATTCGTATAATTCAGTACAATTTAGAACTGTTTTTAATTACTAAAGTTTTTCATGGTTTTAGTGTTTGCACTCTGTACTTGTGAGGATTAGTGTAACATCTATTGCTCTTACTTTCGGGTCCTTGCTCTCTTGTCATTGATGGCGCAAGGCCAAGTTGTGTAGAGAATATGAGGGCATTATTCCTAGCAGTACCTTGTGGGAAATCATTACTGAGAACGAATTGCCCAGAGGAAATCATCGAAGAAGAGGATTTCGGTATAGAGCTGTGATTTGAGCTACCATGTGGGACAAACGGCATCATGCGCTGGTTATCGCTTCTTGTCCTCTTGGCGGCATTTTGATCATGCGCAGTAACATCCAATCCGGAGAACACAGGGTTATGTATTGGACTGCCACTGGTTCTTGTTCGCTTGTGACCGTGAGTGGTGGAGGGGTTCAAATTATTGGTAGTTACAGCGGGTGTGGTAAGGGGGACGCTATTTGGCGTAGTCATTGTTATTGGGTTGTTGTGACTTAGCTCAGAATTAAGCAAAGCATTTAATGGGTTTATTTCTTCGTCCTCATAGCCGTTAATGAGGTTATCAAGATCTGTAAAAAAAGAGAAAAGCAATTAAAAAGAATATATTGTATAAAAGCAAAACGTGTTGTAGCGGCCATAGACTATTAACATTGTGCCCATGTTGGATGGACTCGTACTGAGAAACTTCTATAATAAAAGAAAGTGTAATAATAAAATGATATGCATTCTTTCACTGGTTCTGCTACTTTATTTTCTAAACGTAATCACGATCTTAGGAATTTATAGAAAAAAATAGATTTAATTATGGCGGCTCAAGAGATCCCGTCTAACCATAATATTCATAAGCCCTGTGAATTATCACAAGAATACATAAAAATACTCACTAAGCCGCGTCTGATCCATACTAGATCACAGCTATTCCTTTCTAGAAAGAAAAGAAAAAAACGTAAACGTAAAAATCGCATTGTTCATTTAATTGTGGACATGTATTCTTCGAGTAAAAATCCTACCTTAATTGGGACTGGAAAGCTTCACTTATAAACCTCTTCGAAGTAGGCAGAGAAGCTCTGTAAATCTCGGTCGAGTGCCAACCGACTTTAAACAACTAGAAATATTAGTTCTTTAGTTTCTCATTGGAAACTGCTAATTAATTTTATTGACCAAAACTCTGACATTGTTTCATTGTCGATATTATTGCACAAGATGTTGTAAAAACGTAGGGAATATTGCATATTGCATGTTGGGATGTAAGGTGTTGACTTACTACTAGTTCGACACTCCCACCCACTCCCTGTGCGTATGCTTGCATTTAATATATAAGTAAAACGGACACTATTTCTTCGTGTTTCAAAGTTCATTTCTTTTAAATTGAATTCTGAGTCGATCGTTTATAGCACAACGACTTTTTCTTAGTTTATAGTCTCATGAGGGTTAAACGAGACCATGCAGAGAAACGGTACTAAAGTGTAGTTAAAAATACTTTATATAATTCAATAACGAAGAAACAAATAGAAATTCAGTTTTTATAGAGTAAAATCATTGCGTTAGAACTTTTCAGCTAACTATAGTCGGTCCACAGACAATCTAAATTGAAAAACACTAAAAAAACAAAATGGCGCATGAAACTAGTTCATATTACGTTCGCTCATGCGCGAAGAATTGACGATTCACCCTTTTTGAAGAGTTATATAAATAATAGTAATAATAATTTTGAATAATCTACCAGGTCGACATCAAATAGATTGCGTTTAAGCACCTTAAAAGAATCTTGAAGGCAAAATGAATACAAGCTTGAAAGTGCAGACTCGAAACTAGTTTGAAATACTCCCGTACCTTGAAGTTACAACGAAAAAAACATCAACCATTTTGATATGAAATGCTATCAAAGTCTACAAATTGCAGCGACGTTGCCTTACCTTCTCTTAGAGAACTCTACGTAGCTGTTTACAAGAATAGCGTTTTCCTGTTTGGAGTTCTTTAACTCGGAAAAAAAGAAGTCGAAAGTGAACCAGCTTTCGCAACTACGTAAAACTCTATTCGGGGAGGCTATTCGGGGATATTTTTGATTTGGTGCGAACAAAAACCATTGTTACAAAGAAAGATCACTTGAGAAAATCAACTCAATAACCACACTGTACAACAATATTTATCACTTTAAAGATTTGATATGCGTATAAAAAAATTACTCCGTTCTGCAAAATTGTAATTTAATTGCAAATTAGTATTTTAAATGCATTGTTTCAAGACATGTGTTCACAAAAAAAATTCATTTCACTTTCGAAAGTGCACAACTTTTTCCTTTGGGAATAATAATTTCAGGAGTGACTTTCTAAATACACTAGAAATAAAGTTTGAATGTTTAGTATTGCAATAACAATTTATGTGAGTGTAAAAGAGTCGCTTTGGTAGAATATAAAAGAAATGTTTTTCTATTTTTAAAAGAGCCTTTATCTGAAAGACAATATGCGACGACAGCTCCGCAAAATAGCTAAATCGCTCTCTTGTCTCAACGTGATAAAAAACAACAAAACGAAACAAAACCGAAAACAAACAAACAAATAACAAAAAACATTAGCCAAAGAACAAAACTGTCCAAAACAAGAGTGATCTCAAATCGCCATGACTAGTCTTTTTTGCCACGATATCGTTTCACAAAAACTGGCAAGCGATGCGATTAAAATGGTCATAAATGGAAAGTAAATACTTTGAGAAAGAAATCATCTACGTTCGTTATCTCTCCTGAGAGTCATCTTGATCTTGTGGTTCTTTATTTAAGTGTAGTTTGTTGAGCTCCTGGCGATTTCGTGCAATTTCCACGGCGTAAAACTGTATTCTGGTAACTGCAAGAAAACAAATTATCATTTTTAAGCCAACGATGAGCAGCCCGAGGGAGGGGAGTGCAGTGATAACCCAAAGGGGTGGGAGGAAGGGTGTGGCAGCCCAAGAGGGGAGGTGAAGGAGGAGATTATCAAACAAAAGATATCATCGTCATCAACAGTTCAATTCGATATTGGTACTATTTCTACATTTTTAGAAACTAGCAATAAATATAGAATGCTAAAACTCTGAGAATATCTGAACTTGTCCAACAGTCAACAATAATAATTAGCAAAAGCTCCACCTCAGAAAGAAACAAAATCAAAATCAGTTTAAAAGTTAAGAAGCAAAAAATTTGACAACTCACCTAGTATAGTATTTTCTTTACTGTAGTCTTTGTTACAGTCAATCCTACAAAAAAAAGGGAAATTGCTTACTTATTCTTACTTTATAGAGTTATAGATGGATACAACTATTGCAATAAAGGTTGTCAGAGAAAGGAGGCCAACAAGTACCTAAAAAGATTGCATGGAAGACTTGAACTATGGTTGAACTCTCATCAAAATAGGAGAAATTGCACTGATCAAAGACTCTAAGCTATTGTATGTGGGATTAGCTTGGAAATTGTTCTGAGACAAAACACTGACTGTACCCAATTTATGTGGAAACAGCTGTCAACAGTTTGTAGAAGAGTTGTCTTATATTTTATACAACTCAGAGTTGTCAAAGGTCTTCTTCATTTGTTTCCTGTCAAGGCTTTATTTCAGCTTTTTCAACTTTGAAATTGTTGCATAACAAATGAAGAAACCTTAGGTGTTGAAAATAGAGTATATACTTTTATAACATTATCTTTATATTGTAAGATAATATCCCAGTCACTTTTTAGCTGTATTAATACATAATAGTTAATAGAGGGATGATGAATATCATAATTCTTACCGTAAAAGTGTTCCAAAGTTAAATTCATCAATTTTTCCCTTGTAGTAATTACAGAATGGTCTCCATTTCTTGAAAGGAAAACAAGATAAGTTTAGGTAAACTTTCTTCATCAATACAGATTTTTAACAATATATTCATACAACTTACTGCTTTGGAGATTTCAGACTTGAAATCTTGCTCATTTAATCTTTCAATCTAAGAAACAGAATAGCAATATGATGTAAACAAGCATGGAACACCTCTTGGACATATCATAAGTTCTTCAGTTGATATTAAATTATGTTACCTTTCATTATGAATCATACAAAGGAGATAGGACTTACTGAAATGTTTTTAAAATGCTGCTTGAATTCCTTATATATCAGGTCATCATAGCTAGTGAGGTAAATGAAATACCAATGTTAATATGTTTACTAATTAACAGAACACATCTCATATGACTGCACAAAAACTTACAACTGTGACTCAGTGCACTTTCAAATGTTTCTTGGTCTGCACAACTATGATTCTGATTACTATGATCTGTGACATTTCCCGACATAGAGTCATAATGAAGTTTGTTGTATTCCGAAACTCAACAAGAAGCTTTATTGATTTACTTACTTAGTCAACTTCAATTTTGATGGATCGAAGGCTTTTATGATCTGAGATTAGAAAAATAAAAATCCCTCAATAACAGCTCATGAAGAGAATAAAAAGCAAGAAAGAAAAGGTGTGGTAATGTCTTATTTGAACCTGAGCAAGACATTGCTGAGCTTGCTAGATTGACCATTTTTGGCCATTTTGGTGGGCTATAGCCCATGCATTTTGATCAAAAATCGACCATTTTTGGCCATTTTGGTGGGCTATAGCCCATGCATTTTGATCAAAAATCAACCATTTTTGGCCATTTTGGTGGGCTATACCCCATGCATTTTGATCAAAAATCGACCATTTTTGACCATTTTGGTGGGCTATAGCCCATGCATTTTGATCAAAAATCGACCATTTTTGACCATTTTGGTGGGCTATAGCCCATGCATTTTGATCAATTTGCCCATGTATTGATAGATAAGCATATGAATGACCATCCAAGGTGAGATCTGCGATAATAAAATGCTAATCTAATGCACAGCTGTAGCTACCTTTAAAGATATACAGACAACAGCGAATGTCTTTAAAAGCTTCTATCTTANAAAAATCGACCATTTTTCGCCATTTTGGTGGGCTATAGCCCATGCATTTTGATCAAAAATCGACCATTTTTGGCCATTTTGGTGGGCTATAGCCCATGCATTTTGATCAAAAATCGACCATTTTTGGCCATTTTGGTGGGCTATAGCCCATGCATTTTGATCAAAAATCGACCATTTTTGGCCATTTTGGTGGGCTTTAGCCCATGCATTTTGATCAAAAATCGTTCATTTTTGGCCATTATGGTGGGCTATAGCCCATRCATTTTCATCAAAAATCGTTCATTTTTGGCCATTTTGGTGGGCTATAGCCCATGCATTTTGATCAAAAATCGACCATTTTTGGCCATTTTGGTGGGCTATAGACCATGCATTGATAGATAAGCATGTGAATGACCATCCAAGGTGCGATCTGCGATAATAAAATGCTAATCTAATGCACAGCTGTAGCTACCTTTAAAGATATACAGACAACAGCGAATG